CTCCTCCTCCTTGATATCTCTGATCTCCTGTTTGTATACGAAATAATAGCTCGGAGTTCGCATACGCTATGAAAATACAATACAATTCACACATTATTATACAGAATATTCTGTAAGAATATAGCGTCGAGTACTGACCACATCCCGGAGCGCTCTGTTAGCACCGGCACGTATGAGCACCCGTCCGATCTCCTCCACTAAACTACTGGCCATAGCGTAGTGGAGTGGAGTTCGACCCAACTATTCAAAAGTGGACAGGTATTCAAAAAAATAGACAATTATTTTAACATTCAATTCAATGGTTATTTCTATCCATACGTTGTCGGGAGTGTTGACCGCCTGAGGGTTGGCGTCGATTAACGCATTGATTATGTCGAGGTTAGCGAACAGCACCGATATGTGTAAGGCGTGCCTACCTTGCTCACTTTTTGCTATCACAAGCTCGCTGTCCGTGTCCACCAGATTGGATACACCCTCTGCATAGCCGTGCCGTATAAATGTGTGCAATTCGTCGCGATTTTTCTGTTCGCAAAATGTTTGTAACGTTTAGAACATTATATTTTAACATAAACTTCAATATACAGAAAATTGTGTGTATATTGAAAATAATTGAATGTTTATATACAAATAGAAAAATATAAATAACTTTTAGTAAAGCTTTTTATACACTCTATAGTTATTTTAACCATTTTTATACAGGTATTAGTAATAAATTACAGTATTTCATATAGTATATCAGTGGCTAAAATATAGTGGCTAAACTTTTCCAATTTATTTCGTATTCTAGCAACTGATCTGGGTAGAAAGTTCATATAAAATATTTTATTACAGTTTGTATTCTGAAATAAAAGTTTTATAACAAAACTTAACAAAATCACCTGAAACTGAGCCAAGTCTTGGACGAACTCCTGCATCGATATCTTGTTATACCTCTTGAGAGTGGCGATCACGTCGTGCCCCTCGGCGTCCACGACCGTCAGTAAGTTATTATAACCCTCGAGTGCCAGTGTCCTGACCAGGGTCTTATTCTCCTTGACAAATGTGTCCAGAATGTACTGATCCACGACTTGTAGGTTATCTTTGATGCCATTCTCCACTGTTATGTCACGTATTGTACGGTATTTTGCATCCCTTTCCGGTATCAGGTATTCCGCTTCACTTAACATTT